TGACGTTTAAAGCTGATTTTTGGCAAACGGATTGACTGTTGTGTGTAGAGGTTCGATAAGAAGGGGTTTCTCGAATCTCAAATTCCAAGAGGGTGAAAACGCCCCTGAAATATTACAATATTTGTTATTTAAAAAACGGTTAGTCTTTCGGGAAAACGCTTGGACACGCATAATTTATTTTGTTTCTTTTTCATATTTTGAAATTTTTTAAAAAATCATACAGGGTGTTTTAAAAAGTTGGGTAATTGATTAACCACGATTCTGCTTAAACTGCTTGACGTAAAAAGCTTATTTTTGGCAAACGGAATTTTAGAAAGTCAAATTCAAACGAGATGAAACTACCCCTCAAATATTACCAAGTTATATTATAATATCGCCATATTTTTTTTTCTCATGCTGACATAAATGTGAAAAATTTTTATCCAGTTTGTAAGTTAATGGAAATTCTTGCTTTGCATTATCATCACCATTACAAATGATTAATTCGACGCGAACGAAGTCGCGGGTACACGATAGTATATTAATATTTTATAAATACACATTACAACACTAATTTCGAAGACCCAAAAAATGCTTATCAATAATCTCATTTCATTGACCTGGTTACTTTTTGCATTCATTTTACCAAATTTATTTAAAAACGGTGTGGGTGCAAGGAAAAATGCAAATTTTTATCTTGAGGCATTGTTTTTTGTTTTTTGATACCTGAAAAAGAAAGCTCCAAGGCAGCGATGTAGATCCAGAGTGTTGTTTATCATTTTGTTTAATAATAATTTAAAAGTTTCCACTGAAAAAAAGAGTGTTAAATTTTTAAATTATAAATTACATATAGAATGTTTAGGAGGAAAGTTAATGACCGCGACCTTACAGATCTATTGTATGTTCCCCTTTCGTGAGTTATAACGAGTTCAGTATATAGATATAACATAACAGTCTCAGAGTTTAACAAATATCTATACTAATATATAAATTCCGTAAGTGACTGACTCACTGATTAATCACGATCCTGCTCAAACCACTCAAAGTAAGAAGCTCAATTTTGTTTCGATAAGAAGGGATTTTTCGAAATTCTAGTTCCAAGGGGATGAAACCACCCCAAACCAAACCAAAACAATATTTTTATTTAAAAAACGGCCAAGTTTCCGAAAAAAACGCTTAAATACGTCTATTTTATTTTGTTTTTTACATATTTTAAGATTTTTTAAAAATGTATACAGGGTGTTTCATAAAATGTGACATTTAAAGAAGGCGTTCATTCTTCTCAAAAAGACCTGGTTTAAATTAAAAAAGTAGAAAAAAGACTCAAAGTCTCGGTTTCAACTTTTATATAATGTTAAACTGTTACATGCATTTCGCTCATACGAGCATCATCAGACAAATACAATTAAAATTAGTCCAAACACACGTTCACATTTTACATATTAAAACAACACTATTCCAATATATAAACAATACATTTGACTGATGATGCTCGTATGAGCAAAACACGTGTAACAGTTTAACATTATACAAACATTGGGACCGAGATTTTGAGTCTTTTTTCTACTTTTTTAATAAAATATGACCATTAAGTAATCACGATTCTGCTTAAACTGCTTGACGTTTAAAGCTGATTTTTGGCAAACGGATTGACTGTGGGGTGTAGAGGTTCGATAAGGAGGGGTTTCTCGATTGTTATTTCTCATGCTGACATAAATGTGAGAAAATTTCATCCAGTTTGTATGTTAATGGAAATTTTTGCTTTGCTTTATCATCACCATTACAAATGGTTAATTTGACGCGAAGTCGCGTGTACACGCTAGTATATTATAAATTATATACGTACCCAAATAATAACTTTATTAAATTTATATTCAATTTTAAATTAAAATCTTTCGATCTATGATATTTACTAATTGACTGGGAATAACCAAGAAAGACCGTAAAAGAATAGAGTGAATATGACAAAAAACCCAGGTAATAGATATCATCCACAGAGTCAAATCCCCCAGGGCAGGACATCTGGCAAAAAGGACGGACAACAGATGGACCACAAAAATTACAGCATAGTACCCACGAGGAATTAGGAGACCTAGAAGAAGGCCGAACTTGAGATGGGACCATGATATTAGGAAATTAGCAGGGATAACTTGGACCCGCATAGCCAACAATAAACAACAATGGGCCCAATTAAGAAGAGAGTATCTAAACGTGTGAGGGATGCAACACCCTTGTGCTACACCATAATTAGAAATGGTTGAATAAGCTGAGAATGATGATGATGACAAATGATAAATTGACCGCAGTTCTTCTTAACAATACCGTGCATTTTATTAACCAGAGAAGCCGGAAAATATTAATGTTAATGCCAATGTGCTAATTAACTTTTATCGTGCGTTTACCTATAAGTTTTTTCTCCTACGAATCTACATCAAAGAAGTAACAGCAAATAATTTATTAAACACTAGCTGACCGTCTAACTTCGTACTGCCTAACAATGAAGTGTGATTTTTTGTCAAACTTGTGGTACTGATGACCGAATGATCCAGAATGATTTTTAAAAAAATATGAGGAAAAATAAAAAAATTTTGGCGCCCAAAAAAACCCTTCCTTTTGATGAAAAATTATCTAGGGTATTTTTTTGGTTTTAAACAAAAAAATCACGTGCCGACGCGACGGCCAGTAAGAGTTTGCTATGAAATGTTATAGTTAGGATCTAAATCAGTAGCGATATGATTAACCTATAATTTAATTCAATTTGTTGTGTTGTCTACGCTACGATATTATAATACCTAAGTACCTACGGTTAAGTATGCATTTCAAAAATACTATTTCGGGACACTAACCGTAGATACTGTAACATTGTAGTGTAGATAACAAATTCCATTTGACAACGATAAAATCATACGTTGAAAACTTAAAGTATTAGTATTTGCCTGGTTTTGATTTGTTACCTGTTTAGTTTAAATTTAGAAATAGATGCAGTTTTTCTAAAATGAGTTAAAATCGGCTTGTCCATAGTAGTCAAAATTTGTCATGTGTATTCAGCATACCAAGACCTTTAAAAAACCTCTTACTATGTAACTGTAAAATCAGTAGGGGAGCCAATATTTAGACAGTTGAAAATTTAAATCGGTTATTCTATGTTTTCAACGCCAATGGACCACCTGATATGAGTAAGATATTAACTTGAATCTTGAAATATATTTCTAAGTTAGATTTTAAATTTAACAGTTAACCAAATTATTTGTGTTTATATTGTTGAAAACTATACAAACATGAATAATTTGGTTGGCTTTTATTTTTATTACTTTTTAATTTATTTTTTGGTCAATATCTATATTGCTTGGATGATTTTTACATAAAAAGAAATTAAAACAATATTGGTTTAAACAATGCGTGTCTCAGGTACAGCTAAATTATGAAAAATGTTACTTATACATTTCTCAAAAAATCTTAATTTTAATTTAATAAAAAAAAATAAAGTTTTGTATATATACTCTGTTTGTTTTCTCAGGTTAGATTTCGACAGACGATGACAGAAAAAAAAAAACAGATGACTTCCATACCAATCCATTTATTTCACTAAAAAAAGTTTCTAATATTTTTTAAGTTAACTATGGATGGGTTTATAAAAAAATACGTCATGCGACGTCTCTTGTTGTTTTTAACCAGTTTTATTGGTTTATTTAAAAAACGACAGATCATAATTCAATATTATTGGTTTGACGCAACGATGAACGACAAACGGACGCCTATGCGTATGAACTCGACTTAAAATTTTTGAGAATTGTCAAACTCTTGCCAAATTATAGGTTATAATTTTGTGTCAAAATATGTCAAATAGAAATAATAAATATTTTGCATTTTGCATTTTGGACTGTGTTTCGTGTTTTTTAAAATTAAGTTGAGGAAAACTCGAGAGATAATTAAGTGTTGACCCAGACCATAGTTTACAGTTAATATTCGGTGCACAGAGACTGCCAGAGACCATGACCAGAGAGTTGTATTAGCCACAAATAAAATTGTATACCATCTCGTATATGGTACCAAAAACTGGAGTATTTGTAAAATAACATCACACGTACTTAAACATTTCAGTACCGCAGAAAAAAAATTAAGATTAAAGTTAATTAACCAAGATTAGATTTTTTCAATTTTATATAGTTTTTTTCACAATATTTTGAAGTAATCACTTGTCACTCAAAATTTAAAAATATGAATTATGCGTTCCAATTGTACCAACTTATTTGTTTGTAAAATAAAATAAACTTCTTTGAAATTAAAGTGACAGACACATCGATCAATGTCAAGGATTTTGTCGTTGGACAGACTATAATTTCTATTAAGTATGTTAAACAGTTTAAGGCATATTAATAATATTTCTTTTATACCGGATGAGTCTTAAATAAGTGCAAATATTTTCTGAGCTGATAGATATCGATAAAATAAGCATATATTCTCTCTGCCGTTTTTCAAATAAGTCCAAAATAACCGAGTTATTTTACTTTGAACGTTTCCAGAAAAATATACATTTTTTGCTTAAATTTTGGAACCACTCCATCTTTTCTGGGTTTTCTTTCTTGTAAATTTAATCTACTATCTATGTTGCCACATAATCAAAAAAGTGTGCTTTTTAACTAAGAAATCTAAGAAAATTTCAAGATTTAAAAAAAAATCCAAATTTTCAAAATTTTATTTTTGCGAAAAAAACTCATAATTATGTCTCTGGGATTAAAATATACTACCCTATATAAATATAAAAATATTTGCAGTTGTTTAAAAATCATCCTGTAAAGTTCGTCCATTGGGATATTTTAATGGGAATTCTAGATATTAACTAATTTTCTATTCTAGTTTGTCTATTAAGTATGCCTATACTAACAGTTTCGTAATAAATCTTTAGTATAATTCATCTCCTGAAATAGTTTAATGGTAATTCTAGTCATAAACAAATTTATTTTTATTAAAAAAAATCTTTGGTACCTTAAATACTATTATAAGAATATGAAAATGCTTACCTGCCACCAACTGGAAACAAGACACCACCGCCAAAACCAACGCGACTTTGAAGACACATCCGGAAAACCCTATCTTTCCCGCTTGACACCGCATCATCTCGCCTCTCTTTACCCGAAATTGACCACAAGCACAATCCTCGAGCTCTTCGCCGCGATTCTTCGTATCGGCGCAAACTTGTTGCTTTGGCAGAGTTAAGCGGGGCCGGCGGTGTCGGATGCCGGAAGTTGGAGCGGGCAATTTTCGGATTTGACTCGCGATATCCGACGCGCGAACCCCGCTTTTATAGTCGGCCGCTATCAAAAGGAGGACGAGTCTCGGCGGCATTTTGCAGCAGAGGGAGGAGGTGGGAAATGATGGGGGATGATGGTAAGTACCGCCCCCGCAACAAAAAAAAATGGTTTGGTTTACGAAGCTTTATACCTGTATTTTCTATGTCACCTAAAGAATCATTCAGGGTGACCCAGTAGTCCACAGCAAGTGTCCTATTTCGGATTTTTGTCCAAAATTTTTTGAAATAATATTTTTAATAATTTTTCTGGTATAATATACAGTAGTAGCACGTCTTAAAGAAATATTTTTTCAAGTTTCACACTTATACAAGGTCCGGCAATAGTGCGTCGGGCATCTCCTAGAATAAAAACTTGCGAATTTTCAAGTGCAAATCTAATCATGGGATCAGGATGATTTTTTTAATGGAACACCTTGTATTAAATATATTTTATCTTCCTTTCGGACTTTTCAATTATTTTTTGAGTAACAGACATGTTATTCAAAATAGTTTAAAAAGAAATTCAAACGTTATTAATTTAATTACAATGCGTGTCTCCGATCCACATAAATTGTGTAAAATATTATTTTTATATACAGGGTGTCCCAATATTCCGTGAACATGAAACTACTACGTATGTTTGAATCAAAATAAGTTTATTGGACACAATTTACCTCTATACAAAAGTGTTTTCTTTGTCCGCTAGAGGGCATCAGACTTAAAAAAATGTATTTCAGATATTTAAGAACCGTTATTCCGTTATTAAATTCATTTGATTATTCCGTTATTGAATTGAATTAAATTTTAGGTATTTATGTATTGCTAAGTGCTTTAACATTTTCGGCTTTCACAAAAATCAAGAAAAAGTACGGGAAGGTCAAAAACTACCCTACATAAATTTGAGTATAAATATTTTCCAACTCCACCGACATCATATTTTCTTTTCTCAAAATGGTTCCTACAACATATTTTGTCTCTTTTAAAATAACGCCACATTCCCTAGTTTTTGTGAAAACAATTTTTGAAGAATTTATTTTTCCAAAAAAAGGCCTACAAAATATACAGGGAATTCCAATATTTCGTGGACATAGAACAATTACGTATTTTAGGATGAAAATAAGTTAATTGACATAATTTACCTTACCTTTTACAAAAGTGCATCGTTTGTCCGTTAGAGGGCACCAATCGAAGATAAAACCGAAAGTTAATTAATTTAAAATTATTAGTTTTTAAAGATTTTTATGAAGATTATCGTCAAATATAATTAGTAATACTAACATAAAATTCCATATTTTCACCAACTAGATTATTAGAGCATAACAGATTTTATGGATTTCAAAACTTGATGTGACAAAAAACATTTTTTGGAAGTCAGCTTTGGAAAAATATTTGTTTCCTCAAAAAGTATGGACGGTGGCGTTTTCAAAGATAAAAAATAGACAAAAAATGTAATAAATACATTTTAAGAAAAGAAAAAGGGCCGTCGCACTAAGGGGTATTTAACCCAAAAAGTTGGCCAATATTCAAAAATCTAAATTCAAGATATCAACCAACCGATACCAGGAATTATTTGTATAAACATGAATGTATTCGAGGGTGGGTGGTAGGGGTCAATGTCCCCCCGTGTTACAATCCGCGCCAATCACAAACTGTTCTTCGAATAGACGGGCTGTGTATCGCTGTGCTTTTACAAAATTTACTTAACAATAATTATCTTAGTTTTTCATACTAATCGCGATCTTTTATTGATCTTATATTAGTTTGGAGTATAATATGGAGTATTACTCTTTAGTATAACTGTTATTTTTTAGTTAGAACAATATTAATCTGCTAGTCCGATAATAGACATATTATTTCATTTATAACAGAATGTTTATGTAAACTTTCAGTATGTAATCGAACCTTATCAAGTATATCAATCTGGCTGGTTTTGTAGCTTAAGTATTCCTTTAGAAGACCTTGATAAGAAATTTTGCTAATTTTTGCGAGTTTGGCAGTTACAATTTTTTTTAATCGAATAAAAATGTAGTGTTCTTCACTTTCAACACCCTGTATCTTAGAAACAATGCATTTCTGGATCTATGTTTATGGGAACTTTTCTCCATAAAATGACCTGAGGAATCACTCCCTCGAGTATTGACATGTTATTGTCAATACTCGAGGGAGTCTCGACTTAATCTTGTCAATAAAAAACGCTAGGTATGTATTAAAATTTGAAGCAATTTTCTCACGTTTTAAAAGGCGGAAGAATGCAAAAAAAAATAAAAATATTATTGGCCAGGTTTTGAGGTAAAATACCCCATAGTACGTCGATGGAGCTGAACTAAATTTTAATATGTATATTAAAATTTATGTAGGGGTGGGGGTAGTTTTCACCTTTCCAGTACTTTTTCTTGAATTTTGTAAAAATAAAATTTTAGAGCACTTGGCAAAAAATAAACACCCACAATTTCATTCAAATCGGAATAACGGTTCATGAAACATCTGAAAAAATGTGTTTATTTTTATAATGTTGGATGCCCTCTAGCGGACAAACGAAGCAATTTGGTATAGAGGCGAATTATATCCAATGAACTTATTTTAATTCCAAAAATACGTACACATCCTGTATTTCCTGAATACTTTCAAACTTATTTTTAACTCTTATAAAACCGTATCAACGTTCTATAATTTCTATAGTATACACATATTATGTTAAACAGTTTTCAAAGTCTTTTTAATATTTCTTTCGTACAATTCGTCCAGTAGAATGATTTAATGGGAATTCTAGTTATTAACTAATTTATGTTTATTTCTTTCGTCTCGGCAGAATTTTGCAGGCGGAATAGGCGGGTCATCCCAACTTATAAACACTTTCCTTAATCGTTCTTTTTCACACAATTTTAACATATTTTTAATACTGTTAATATAGATAAGTAAATTGGTAATTTTTTTTTTTATAATTATCTGGGAAAATGTAACAAAAATTTTATAAACTTGAATTGGAATATCCAAAAATAAGTCTAATGGTATTTTATTTCCACTTCTAGTTACTAGCGGCAAATATTCTCTAACTTAGAGTAGGCGGTTCGTATTAGATTATTTTTTAATATAAAATCGCGTCTAATGATAATAAAAACAGTTATTATGAATAATATCTTCAGAAATATATTACATCAATTTGAGTGATAAATGCAGTAAAATAATTATTAATATTTTTTGAACTCTTTATCTATGTCAATGTTTATTTTACCACTTTGGAGAAAAGTGTTTGCATAAAAAATTAGATGCTGTTCTTTCTAGAATTAACAAATCTTGAAATATCTCTTTAAGTCTGTTGTACTTAGTGCAATTGCCACTCTATCCAAACATTAGATTTGCGAAATTAAATTAAAAGTTGGAAGGGTTTTGCAGTCATAGGTTTTTTAAAACTTCGTTTGGTTCAGTTGCTACTGGAAGGATCACACCTTATCCACGTTCCCTATTTGGAAATATTTTCAAATATTTTTCGTTAGATAGCCGCAAGAATATATCACCAGCAATAAATACTATGAGATCTTTAAAGTGCATTTTTCACATGAAGCTTGCCAGACCGAGAAAACCTACCAAAGCCGTCCAGACGATGTTATATGTTACTTAAATATTAAAATAGAATCATGACCATTTTCAACTTATTCAACCATTTCCAATTATGGTGTAGCCTCCCTTACACATAAATACTCTCTTTGTAGTTGGGCCCATTTTTGTCTATTGTTGGCTATGTGGACCGAAGTTATCCCTGCAAATTTCCTAATATCATGGTCCATCTCAGGTTCGGTCTTCTTCTATGTCTCTTAAAAATTTCAAAATTCAAAATTCAAAATTCAAAATTCAAAATTCAAAATTCAAAATTCAAAATTCAAAATTCAAAATTCAAAATTCAAAATTCAAAATTCAAAATTCAAAATTCAAAATTCAAAATTCAAAATTCAAAATTCAAAATTCAAAATTCAAAATTCAAAATTCAAAATTCAAAATTCAAAATTCAAAATTCAAAATTCAAAATTCAAAATTCAAAATTCAAAATTCAAAATTCAAAATTCAAAATTCAAAATTCAAAATTCAATTGCGAGTAGAACGCATTTTTAGTTAAAAATGTCCTCAATTTAATTTTAAATCATTAATTAATTATGACGGAGTAGTAGAATATTATATTATTATAACTATATCCATTTACTTCTCATCTTGTTTTGATTAGTCTCATTGTCATTTTTTCATTTTGACGCTCGGGATAACAGCTGACAAATATTTCATTATTCTTTCTATATTTGAATTTCTTAAATTTATTAGCAATCAAATTAGCAAAGGCAGATTATTCTGTCAACTATTTCAATCATTTTGAATCGTTGAATAGTTTATATTGTCTAACAAATTATTATCTGAACATATAGTTTAAAAAAAAACATTCTGTCAACCATTTTAATGGAAAAAGTTTTAAAAAATTAAATATTACTCAAATACAAACTTTCAATGATAAAGTTTTTAATTAACAGCATAATACAAACAAACTAGGTAATCGCATATGTGGGGTTATACGTATTTATTAGTTACATGACAAAATTGGAAAAAAATATCGTACGATACACACAGGAAAATAATATCATATTGAACTCCTACCATATTATGCGATTTTTATATGAAACTTTTTAACAGAAAACAAAGAATAGTTATTAGATTCCAGACTCATTTTTCAAAAAAAAATAACGATATTTTTTATTAAAAACCAAAATATATCTGTAAGATTAGGTTAGGTTGCTTGGGCTTGGGACTCTGTTTGATCCCATACTCGGAGACCTTGGGCCCATTGGGATACCCCTCTATTATTGTATACCAAACCTTCCTCTATTACTTTCTTTGCGTTAAAGCACTTCCAGCTCTTTGCAAAGTTTCCCATGTCGCTGATGTTCGCTTCCGCCTGATGTTGATTACTCTAGTCCCTCCAAAAAATCGTTCCCTGAAGTTTTAAAGCGTCGGTTTTCCAGTTCCGGACAGTGGCTCAGCATATGCTCTATGGTTTCGTCGTTATTCCTTCGTAGTT